TCGATGACTTCTCAGATTAGAGGAGCCCAGCCCTGTCCGTGCGATAATGAAGTCCTGAATATTTTGTGAGTCTAATTCCGAAGAATGCGTTACAGTACTTGTGCGCTACCGTTTCCCCCATTTTTTTTATTTTTTGAATAAATAATTCTCTGTTGACATGAATATGATCGATTCCATAACTTGATTATAAAATCGCCTAAATGTAATTTATTTTGCTCTCAAATTCGTCCGAAGCTGGCGAAGCAAATTCGCCTTGTAGCACAAGTCTTTCGTTCGTTTGTCATCGCGTTTTTGTCCTGAATTGTTTTCTATGAAGGGATGTTGGAAGTGTAGAATTGATCACGAGCGTTAACCTTAGAATGAGACGAGTCGAAGTATTCGAATCGTTGGCAGAAAGGAAATGAACGCTCCGGATGAATGAACACTGTGTGCATCTAACTGCATCACAAACGGAAAATGTTTGTCTGTCGAGAGTTAATGTGTTTGCTTCGCTAATTTTTCAATGTGCGTTGAACAGCAAGACTCATCATCGCTATCCGCGTCTGCTTCGAAACGAGGGTGGAGATAAACCGAAATCATTTTGTCTGCGAGTGACCTGGGTATGGCAGTCACAGCTTTCTTGACTTGATTAGCGCAAAAGTTAGCAAAATTCGTCCCTTGCTCGCGAATCTCAAATTCGCGGGAATCGTGCTCGCTAGAATGAGCCGATGTGTGACTTCCCTCCGAGTATCTGCGATAGTCAGATCTGTCCCACCTCTTGAGAATGAATTCTCTGCAGTGACGAAAAAGTTGTGGATACCGTATCACGGAAGAGGAACCATGAACTTACTGCAATGCTGGCATTCGCGTCATCGCCTGCCAAGCAACGTTGTCGACCTTATCAACGACGAAGCCGAGTCCAGGTATTCCGAGCATTTTCCCCCAAATTTGTTTTTTCTCGATTGATTGACGAAGCCTAGGGAACTGAAATTCATGTGGTGTTCACGATCTGCCTTCAATTCCGGAAAACTCTCTTTACTGTGCATAAAACTGTACTAAGCGCAGTTTTCTGCGTTTAAATGGTTCACGTGATGCTATCCTATTGCCCATGATGGACATCGTTCTCTAAATATTTTGATGAGAATTGAGCATTACACGTGGTTGCACATTTTTGATTTTTTTTGCATCCGAACAAAAATCAAATTCTTTTTTGGTGGTCGTGGGGAATGTTCTATAATTATCTCATTGCAGTTTGCGCTTTATCACCAACAGTGATATTAAGGCTAATCGAATCTTACTTCGTTCGCTAATATCTTCCACTCGGGGACGGGACATTCTTCTTCAGGCAATTCTGTGTGTGTAACGCGCACTATTGGAGCGTGTAGAACATTCGCTACTTCTGAAGGTGCCTCGGTGACATCTAAACTTCCCTCATTCTCAGAATCGAACGACTCCGATTGCTGCGTTTCCTCGTGTATCTCATGTTGGCCGATATGGTATGATTCGCTGCTAACAGCAACAAGAGCATTTTCTCTGGGTTCATCAGGATCCGGGGAAAAATTCTCCGTATTTGGACTTGGGAACGGCAAGTTGTGTAATCCAGTACTGCGATGTGTGAGCCATTGCATGAACGCGGATGGGTCCAATGGAAAAACCTTTCGTGTTCCAAATTTGAGTTTGGGTATGTTCAGGAACTCTTAGAGTGCGTATCCGAGTTGATGGAGAAAAACGAAAGAAGCATTCTCATCGCGATTTTAAAAACAGAATGGGTATAGCCCTCTTACCAGGCCATTTCCACTGCGCACGATACAGGGTAGTTACAGTTCGCCGTTCCTTCATTTTGACATCCGAATACGAAAGGTAGCGAACAGCATGGAAACGGGAGGAAGTCCCATATTGTTGGAACAGTGATGGTTCCCGTTCAACCAGCGTGAGAGATGTTGGTCTGAGCCTTCGCTGGGTTTTATTAATTAAATAGAGGATTAATTAACGGGTACATGATTAAACCCAATGTAACTTACATCTGGATAAAATATACCGCATTTCACGTACGTCATGGAAATTGCAGGAGAGTTTCGAAAGTCGCGCTAGTAGATATGACTGGCTCTGTGAAAAAATCAAACGAAGGGATGCATATGGCCGAGCGCATGACTATTGACACAGTAGATGCGATCGTAGATATCCATTCCGAGTAATCTTGTTCACTATTCTTCCGTGGCGATTTCCTGGGAGTTTTACTGAAAGATGCTATATTGCCATCGAATTCAAGTGCAATGGTGTCTTCGGAAGAGCTCCAGATGGAGCAGTAGGTTCGGATTTCGTGACTCGCGATCGATGCTCAACTTTCATCTCGTGACAAGGAGTTCTAAATCACTCCACGTTTCAGATTATTTGAGGTTGTTTTCGGAAAATTTTTGTGCCGTGAAGTGAACGTTGCATCTGTTACAGATGGACGTGAGT